AAAATGACGCAAATGATTTTAATCTGTCCATAAAAATTTTGACGACAAAGCATGCAAACTTCCTCTATTCTCCCAAATAAAAAAAATTTTTTTAAATTGTTTGTTTCTTCCTCTTCATTAAAATAGCACTTTGCATTTTCTGCTCAACAATGTCTTAAAAGTAGCCAGTTTATTGCTGTAGAAAAAAACTTCGAATAAAATTAAATATACACGAAATTGTATCCATACAGAATAAAGAAGTCGATAAATGACTGATAAGTATGTGTTTTAGCAGCCAAATTGTCTTAGAATGAGAAGGCATAACAGTTCACTCCCTTTGCTGACACTTGACAATATTTGTCAGAGTGAACAACATATGAAAACGAGGAATTCGCGCATATAACATTGAACTTCTGTACAAATTGCAGCTCGGCCTCTTTTTGAACTGCTCGTTTAGAGTCGGTGATATTTTCATTTATATTCTGAAAGAAATGAGAACCTCTTCACTATTACTTATCTTCTAAAACTGATTTACAGCTTCAGTTGAGTGCAAATAAAAAAGTGTCCTAACCCTAAGCATAAGAGCTTTTAAAGCTTCGTCGTTACAGAATGGATCGGCAAGAGGAGTGATGATTTCATGATCATCGGTCACTTCGCGTTTACGCAGTTTAGCGTCTTTGTGCAAACGGCTTCGAGAACGGAAACGTTTTCTGTATTTCGCCGAACACCCAGAGTTGTCAGAGCACCCTTGACAACAATCGACGCTCGCTGGTGGTGGAGGCTAAAATCAATGATATCTCGTTTTAAATTTTACCTAAATGCGGCTCACAAAACTGCTTCTTAGATGCAGCATTATTTTTATAACTTTCAACCTTTTTTATCTTCATATTCATATTCATAATTCATAAATACACAAAATGAGTAAATTAAAATGTTTTACCGGACATGCTGGTGGTGGAGAGCAAGTTACTATTGGGCATACAACTGGTGGAGGTGGTGGCGGTGGTGGAGGACATTCGGGGCATGGAGGTGGTGGTGGTGGTTCTGGGCAAGGTGGGCAAGGCTCACATGGATCTGGTGGTGGACAAGATGGTGGTGGTGGGCATGTTGGAGGTGGAGGTGGCGGAGGACATTCTCTCGCTTTACAGATAATTGAGAGAGGTCGTGGAGGAGGTGCTGGACATGACGGAGGGGGAGGACATGGAGGTGGAGGTGATGGACATTTTACACATTCTACACCACAACAACAGCCAGCCGAGTAGACGGTGCCAACGCAGTAAAACAAAGTTGCCGCCACTAACCACAATGACATTATCTTCTGCAAATTTATCACGAACTTAACTTTTAAGGAAAGAATAATATTTTCGCTAGGTCTGTAAAAAATGTGAACAAATCAATAAGAAAATTTAAAAAAAAAAAAAAAAAAAGCAACAGTCTTTTGAAACAACAGATTTGATAGTCAATATACAGCCATTATGATCATGAATTACGGTATTTGAGGCACTCCCAAAAGGTTTGCTATTGATAATCAAATCTTCGAAGTTACCAATCTACAAAGTAAAATGAAAACTGATGAGCATAAAACTGTAGAAACTGTAACCGACAGTTGGCGAAGATGTAATTCACTGCCTGAAACAGCCTTTTATATTGTTTAAGCGACGTTTTTTAATGCTTTCTGAAATTCTTGCTCTACCACTCTTTGATTTTATACGAAGAAACTTGAGAAGACGGTAAGTGAAAAAAAAAAAAGGTGCCCTCTACAATATTTGTTGTAACAACAAAACTTGTTTTTATTGAAGATATTAATAACTTATTTTTAAGTAAAACTTTACAGTTTTGAAAATGCAAGCCTCAGTTTTTTTTTTTCCATCCAAGTTAGAAACACTGTTAAGTAGTAAAATTGCTGAGAAAGTGTTAAAACCAGACACTTGTACCTGTTAAATTTTGTTTTCTTTTCCAAAGCAAAACTTCATCAGAGATCACATACATTACAGGTTCTATCAAGGCAAAAAAGACAATTGACGGAGATGTTGGGAGACAGAAATGACTGGAGATGCAGCACGACAACCACAGCTTTTTATCCGTTGTGTTTTAATTTCCTCATGCTAATAATTGACATATTGATATTGCGGCTTCTTTTATGACATTATTTTTGACTTTTTATGATTAATCAGGCGAAATGTTGAAGTGCTGCAGCCGATTTACCAAAAACTACCAAATCTGACAGCGCAGTAAGCAGTGAGATCACTCACCAGACCTTCAGTTTCTGATGACAACGCTGAGGCAATCTATTCAAAGAAGATGGACATCTGATATGAAAGAAACAGAGGAAAATGTACGTTTTTTCAGTGTCCTAAAAGATATCTTTACTAAAATTATTTAAAATAACTTCAACAGGAAGATTCTCAGACAATGGATAAAAGAACACAGTTTGTGAATGCTTTTTTTAACACCTGTTTTCTTTCTTTCTTATTGTTATGAATAAGGCAAAATTGGTAATCAAAAAAACCACAAAGAAAGATTAGCGAATTAGGCCAAAAAAAAAAAAAAAAAGAAAAACTCGGAATAAAAAATAAAAATTAGAAGTTAAATATTTTAAAGAATTGCAAATTATTTGTGCTTTTTTTTCCTTTTCTGTTTTTTTTCTGTTTTTTGTTCTACATAACTTTAAACTGTATTCAATATTTCTTTTCACATTTTTTTTTTTTTTTCAATTATTGAAAGTCTTTGTTGTTTTTTTCATTCTTTGTTTCCATTCTTTTCGTTGTAACCGAAAGGGTTCCGGCTGTACAGAATCAACTGTTTTCAGAAACCTTCTTGCTGTGCTTTTTATTTTTTGGTTTTCGGTTACAATTCCGCTGTTTTAAAGAGCTTCGTTGTTTGTCGGATAATATTAATAGAGCTCATTTTTTCCTTCTGCTTTTGGTTTTTTTCTTTCTTTTGTTTTTCTTCGACGTACTCTTTTTGAGCATTATTATCAGTATTCCTCCTTTTTTTTTTCCTGAACATCGTTGTCATTATCTTTAACCTTCAGCTGGTTACACAAAATAAACTTCAGAAAATTAAAACATTCTTCTTTTATTTGTCTTCCTCTTTTCTTTATGCAAATTTTTGTTGCAAATTTTTCTCTTTTTTGGTTTACTTCGTTTACTTCTTATTAACTTTTCTTTTCTTTTTTCTTTTTTTTTTTT